AACTGCCGCATGGTATTACCATCACGAGTACGTGAGCCGCCAGTGGCGGCTCACGACTGGTAGATGGTACCGCCATCCTGAGTGCGCGAGCTCCTATCAGAAATTCGTTGCGCCGCCCTTGGGGGTAAAAAACGGTGAAAGCTAACGTACGAAACCAGAGGGCAGCACATGATGCGATCACACGGTCCTGCCCGTAAGCAATCTCCCAACTCATCTCTGCAGAGGGCACGTTTTTAGGAGACGTCGAAATTCATCGGTCTATCCTAACTAAATTGTCAATTGGTTGAGTGCAGTTGAGTGTGTAATGATATTTATACAGCAACGCGTCATGTAATTTAATCAAGTTAATATGGATTAATTGACGTCATTTGAATAGGCGTATTCTATGAAAAAATATTTAAACACTTGTGTAGGTACACCAGAGCGTATTTTCTGTTTATTTCGTATAATTGTATGAACTTTAGAAATTATATTTGATGTATTTTTAATGTGAACTATTCATTTTCACAGCAAACATGAGTGACTCAGAGGAAGGAGACACTCCAAAGGTGACTGGACCAGTCGATGATGCCTGGTCCCTGAAAATTCCAGAATTTAAACCGGAAGACAATCCACATCGGCTTTTGGAAGAGAGCTCATTTGCCACATTATTTCCAAAGTACAGAGAGCAGTATTTGAGAGAATGCTGGCCACTGGTGCAAAAAGCGCTAAACAAACATCATGTAAAAGCTGAATTAGATCTTTTAGAAGGCAGTATGTCTGTGAAAACGACAAGGAAAACATGGGACCCTTACATTATTTTAAAAGCACGGGACATGATAAAGTTGATGTCTAGATCTGTGCCCTTCGAGCAAGCCGTAAGGGTTCTTCAAGACGAGATCAGTGCCGACATTATAAAGATATCCTCCTTTGTAAGAAACAAAGAAAAGTTCATCAAAAGGCGGCAGAGGTTGATCGGACCTAACGGTTGCACGCTTAAGTCTATCGAATTGTTGACAAATTGTTACGTTTTAGTCCAGGGCCAAACAGTAGCTGCGTTAGGACCTTACAAAGGTTTACAACAAGTACGGCGAATCGTCGAGGACACTATAAAAAATATTCATCCAATTTATAATATCAAAGCCCTGATGATTAAGAGAGAACTTGCAAAAGACCCAAAATTGAAGAACGAAAACTGGGAACGATTCTTGCCTAAATTTAATAGTAAAACTGTTAGCAAGAGGAAGCAGCCAAAGAATAAGAAAGTTAAGAAGCCTTATACTCCATTCCCACCACCGCAACAGGAAAGTAAGCTGGATAAGCAATTAGCGTCAGGAGAATTCTTCTTGAAGGAGGAGCAGAAGAGGGCGAAGAGGAAAAAGGAACAAGAGGCGAGGCACGAAGAGGCATTGAAGAAAAGACAGGAAAAAAGAGCGCAGGCATTTGTTCCACCTGAAGAGAAAACCATTGAAGATACAGTGGAAAAGAAGAACGATGTTGACATTGATGAAATAAAAAAGAAGATTAAGAAAGGATTTAAGAGACGGAAAGTAGGATTAGCATAGAAGCTAGTAATAGCTACATCTGGTATTCTTGGAAACGTGGTGCATGCCGTGGACATTTATACGATAGTAGACTTTGTGAAGGGGTAAAGAAAGCGAAGTGGTGTTGATCTGTTGAATTTTATTAAAAAAACTTCCTACTAATCCTTTAAGTACTAGAATACCGTGTTCTTAAACGTAGATATTACGCTATTATTGTACATCGCAAAATCGAGGATGAAAGAAACCTAAGCCAAAATCGTGAGTGAGTTGCGACATCAAATCCTACCGTAAAGCTTGGCGATACTTTCGTGTACCACCAAAACTCAATTCAGAGTCATTAAGGAACGATAGTTCGCTTTGACTTCCTCTGTTGGATCTATCTTGAAATTTGACCATCAGAAGCTTCCCTTCAAAATGTACAGCATTCCTACTCTATTATAATATCGCGTTTCGATGAACAAATACAAAGTACAAAACCTTCAACCAGATACCTCGTGTTTTTCTGAATTGATGGTTTTCCTACTCTACGATATCCTGCCTCCGAGTCTAAGTCCAGAGTGCAGTATCCAGATACCGCGGAATTTCAGTACCAACGTGCGGATCAATTCTTTACGTCGATCAATTCAATCTACCTTTACAGTTTATGCTTACTGGAGTACGAATACCTCACCGTCATAACTTAATGTATTATTTACAACTGTAAGGTCAAGGCGATTAACACTAGTTACATGATTTTTGAGTGGCAGAAAGTTGTAACTGAAACTTAATAACAATGGAAAAGTGCTCTTTTAGTGAATCAAAATGTAAAAGTATCGATGCTGGTCGGAGTGATCAAAAGCCTGTGTACTTTCATGTAGTAATCGCCTTGGGTCGCTTCTTGGAAAGTATCATTACAAAAGAGAAGCTTAATTGTTAAGATATTTAAATTACGTTGCTTATTAGATTACAGTATATTACATACAGATAAGCTTACAGCTTTTATTGGTTTTGGAAGGAAGAATGAAGTAGCTGCCCAGAATTGATTTTTGGAAGAGGAGAGACAGCGAGATAGTCATTTCTGTTACATCATTTAACGTCAAATCAAATCACTTTTTTTATTGATATTTTTCTTTAGGACGTACGATGGTACATTTAATTATTTGTAAATCTGGATGACTGAAACATTAATATTGAAAAGTAGGCACAGGAAGGAAAACAGGAAAATTACAAAATCTTGAATTTCTAGTGATAAAATTGAATCACCGTCCAAGGATGGAGCAAAAGAAATATTGTTTATCAAGACTATTACTATTTAAGCAAGGATAAAAATTGGTTTTGGTTTGACATAGAATGACAATACTACAATTCCTCAAAATTTTGATCGGTTTGCTCAATAATCGTTAAATGTATCCTTTTCAGTGGAAAATTAATAGATTTAACCTATTTGAAGATTAAGGAAGTTCATTGAGTTGGGGAACAAGCAAATTTCATTTTGAAATTGAAAACGGTGGAATTTTGCCGGCATAGGAGGAAACATAACCTCTGATGTCAGTCGCTAAAAGTGTCTAGTACAATTTGCAATATTTTGAAAGACTTATAAATTTGTAAAAATAAATAAATCGTGATTAGAATGTGCATCGAATTCGATCAAATCGTTGAGCAGTTCAATCAAAAGTCCATGGATAAAATAGATAGAAAAGTGAGGAGCACAAGACAGGAGTGGAAAGTGAAACGTCAAGATTAAAAAGTAATTTAAAAAATGGTCAACTTCGATGGAAACTATTCCATGGAATTTTTTTTCTGTGCACTGGCATCATAAAATTATGAATGCCTGCAAGGAAATTTTGTCAAAATAGTTGCTCCTCGTTAAGAGGTTAAGGTGCTTACGAGTGTAATTAATAAACAATCGTTTTGTGCCCATTACTCAGTCGTAGACAAACTAACGAGCATTGGAAATAAAGTAGTCGTCTCTGACAAATCTGAGATCCACGTGACGGCCTATTGGATTACTCGCATGTTTAAGGGATAATCGTAATGCGTACCATTACAATTAATTTATAAAAATAAACCTCTGCGCGTAGTTCGTATCATGTGGCCGCAATTATAACGTTCGTCGTGTTGAAGCATCGAACACAGTTGCATCGATGATGTGAACTCTTGGAAGGTGAACATAATTAATTCGCACATCTTTCGTAACTTGACTATTGCACGTATTATGCATTCGAATGAGTATGCAATTCCTCGCAAACTTGTGGAAAAATAATTCCGGGAAGGAGTGGCTTTGAATGGCAGTTTTCGTCGACAGCTGCAAACTATCCCCTTAAATTATACGAAAGTACAGCAAAGTCTTCGCCCAGACTCGCGATATGTAAGAAGTGTGTTCTCAAATTCAAAGAAGCAAACCTGGACCATTCAAAACCGTACATTTGTGCTTGAAACGCATTTGCATTCGATCACTGTGATGTCGCAGACAATGGATTCGGATGGCTCTCTCGTTCTCTTGCTCGTGGGTTTACATAGGAGCTGGTAACAAGTTTCGATTTAGTTCCTTCGTTTTGCAGGTGAATACGGTCCGTAAGTTCCAGGATCTAGCTATTCTTAGAGTCCCCGAGGGAGGTCATGCTCTCAGGAGCTGTAAATATCCGACAGGACCCTCGAGGTCGAAAAGGGGGTCCTCAAAACTCGCCCAGAGAGTCGAGGGTCCTTCGGCGACGTCTTCGGCAAATACTTTCTGGAACCTCGAGAAAATAGGAAAAGAAAAAAAAACCTCCACAGGCTATCATGTTTTTTCTTCTTCATTGAATTAATCAATTCCGATTCGCGATTGGCGATTTACTGGGTAATCGAACCTCCAATCCTGCTAGATGCGGATCCTTAATCTATTAATAATCTCTCTCCTCCCGACGACAATTATATACTTTTAGCAAAAGCTTATCGGCTCGTCGATTCTTTGATCCACGATTAACGCTCCCCTTTCCCCGGTACGTCGTCACCATGGACTCGTAAAAAAAAAAAGAAAAAAAAAAACGCTGCATCCCCTTTATTAAGTTTACGCATTACCTTTATTAATCTCCTTGAATAATCTCCTGTCGTTTTTCAATCCCTTAATCTCACGTTATTACAACCCTTCCTCGCGGTGTCATCTCACCTTGCAATTACCTGCGGTCAATTCCACAGTTTCTTTGATTTCATAATCCCAGACCGGTACCTCCTCCCGAGACCGAGCATCGATTAATCAATTCCTTTAATCGGCAATTAACCATTCCATATTCCCATCTTAATCGTCGTTACATCCATTCCCTAGGTGTTGATACTTGATCTCTCTTTCATCGATAACATCCACGGCGAGTCAATTCCTCCTAGCGATTCCTTAGTTTTCAACCTCATCTCTTTGATGATTCCTCCGGCGATCCTTCGGATCTAGCGGAGATTAATTAATTCCCCTTCGGTAATCCCGAACACTTATCGGTGACTTCATACTTCTCAGGAGACCTTCCACGATCCGGTTATCTCGATCGCACCGATCGAGCTCGCCTCTTCGATCTCCATCGAGGATGCCTTCGAAGAGGCCGGACCCCAGGTCGCCCTGGACCAAGTCGGCGTTCCTGCCAGGAACGAGATTCAATTCCTTAATCCCCGATGAACCTCGGGTCGCGATAAACCACCACTTCCGGTGGCCACCACGATGACCAGCCGAGGAAAATCGGGACCTAGTGGGAATGGTTGTAGAGGTGCCACCTCTGGCTCTCCGCCGAGGAGTCGCACTTCTCGGCGGTGATACCGCGCTGGGCGTGATAACGCGAGTCCACGCAGACCGGGATTCTTGTGTGCCTGATAAGGCCCCCTTCGAGGTGTCGCCACTTCTGGTTCTCGCTTCCGTCGCAGATCTGCATCAGCAAGGTCGTCCCCTTCGCGTATACCGGAAGCGTCAGGCAAAGGTCGTGGTGCTTTATCAGCCCGTCCTTCGTCAGTCCCCATTCCTGAAGAGGGGAAAAAACGGAGATGATTAGATCTACTTACGTATATATTACAAAATACACGAAAGCCATAGGACTTTCGCGTGTCAACCGAATATTTCGTTCTTCGTATAAAAGTCTAAGTACTGCGTTATCCGTAAAATTATAGCTGTAGCAATATCAAGTTTATCATTTGAACTAAATGTTTTTTTTTTTTACGCAATACAAAAAACATTCACCCATGGAATTTTAGGATTGTTTTTCTCATATAAATACGAAAGGAAATGCATGCGAAAAATTCACTTACGGAATTTCGGAATATTATATATATACACGAAGAACAATGTATGAAAAAAAAATTCATCTACGGAATTGTAGAATATTTTCATATTTTATTTATATGTATAAATATGAGAGAAAGAAATTGTAAAATTCCGTAGATCAATTCTTCTCGGGATTAATTTGTCCTTGATTGCAGGTATCACCTGGTTGCCTCCCGTGTCGTGGCAAGGATAGAGGCCCACGTTGCCGTCCAGGAGATGGCCCATGCTGTCCAGGCAAGCCGATCCTTGCTTCAAGGACCCACCGGGTCCTCCCTCGCTCGTCGGGATCACCAGCTCCGGGTAGACGTTCTTCAGGTACCAGCTGAACGGCTTGCAGTACAGCTTTCGCTTCAGCTCCATCCTGTCCTGAATGCTGGAAAGGTGGAGGGAAAAGAAACCGATCAAGAGGGGCCTCGGATACCATACGTGGAGCCAATCGATCCATCGACGTCGTCCGATCGGATGGGAATCCAAATCTAATTTGAATCCGCCCCGAATCCGACCTGCGGTCACGCAAATGAGATTTCCTCGAGCGATCGGACTCCGATGGAATCGCATCGGCGCACGAAGGGACTTCTGTCGGGCCAATGTGATGCGAAACTTAATTTATAAAGAGCGAACTCCGGGTCGAGTATTTCGGGTCGCCAGGACTTCGGGAAGATACCAAAATCTCGGATGGAACGAAAGGTCCAGTCGCTTGGTCGATTTTTTATTCAAGTTCGTTCCCGGATCGTTCTACTCATGATGTTCTCCGAAAAGTCATTTTCTATATGTACGTCGAAACGTCAGAAAATTTGTAAAACCTTATTTCTTTTTTTTCAAACTGGCCGTATCGAGTCATTTCAGTTTGGAGAAAAGCTTGGAGAACGAAATCTATATCTATGAATTTTATCAACTACTTGAAACTATTATATCGCTCGTTCTCCCGGCGATAAACTAGTATTATACATTGGGATGTAGACGTATAAAGTCACGTATTAAAATTCAGGTATATATCTTTTTCTTTTTTTTTTTTTAATGCAGACAATCAGTTTCCGCCGCGACCGTAAAATTTCACTGGGTGGTGCCGATAAAAATAATGGGGGGTTTAATGAAAATGGGAAAGTGGAGAAAAAGAGGATCCTTACTTTCCGTAGGGAATATTCCGAGCCAAGGGCACCGCGTTGTAGTAAAATTGTTTGTAGTCGTCCATCCAGACCTCGGCGGCTCTGCGAGTGTTTCGCGCGAAAACGTTCCCACTTCCGCCAGGAAATGAGTAAGGGTGTCGTTTCCGGAAGACGTGGCCCACCCGGGAGCAGGGGATGATCTCCAGGCTCCCACCGCACTGCCAGACTCGAAATGAAATCTCTGAAAAGTAATGCCTCGTTGAAAGCTCTCCTCGGTTTCTCCCCCTTTCTTCGTTTCCGTTATCACCGGATATCGAGGTACCTAAGATTTTAATTCTCCTATTTAATAACTAGGCTGTAATTTCTTTAATCCTCCATTTCGGCAAGGTTAAAGAGTGATTATAAATAATTTACCCAGATTCTCGCCGCCCCAGACGTCCATCTGCGTATCGTACTTCCCGAGCTTCTCGAAGTAGGACTTGGCGATGACGAAGAGGCCACCGGCGATCATGGGAGTCCTGATAGCCTGAGTTGGATCCTTCTGACGAGCCTGACGTTCCACCTGACTCAGGTATTCCCACTTGAAGACGAGGCTCCAGTCGAAGCCACCCCTCAGGTCGGCGGAGGCTCCTGCGAGGAAGAGGCGATTAGAGATAAAGGCCTGAGATTAAAGTAACGATTCACTCACCTATGTACTGGAAATTGTCCATGCTGATTACGTCGATCACAGGACACACCACCCTGGTGGGGTCCTCGGCGACCCTTTCCAGGAGTGGCTCCAACCAGTCTACGTTGCACTCGCAGTGCGAGTCCAGGAAAGTGAGGACACTCGCAGTCGCAGCATCCGCACCTCTGACCCTGGACCTCATCAGCCCCTCCCTTTTCTCGTTCCTGATGACCCGGACCTTATGGATCCTCGACAGCTCCTCGCCGTCCTCGGCTAAGGTGATAAGAAAGGAAATCATTTATCTCTTTCATAGATATACAAACCGAATTAATGAGCGGTCTCCTTACGATGGTCGCTGAAGTCGTCCACGAGGATGATCTCTTTGATGAGGTGTTCCGGACTTCTGTTGAGGACGCTGGAAGAGAAGAGGTAGATGAAGAGACGGATCCTCTGGATAGTCGAGAGAAGGCTTCTGCGGGGAAAAATCGAGGGAGGGAAAAAATTGGGATTAAGGGACGAAGAAAGAGGAGGAAAAAATGGCAGGATTTTGAAATCATTTCAGGATGAGGTCGAGGTGGAACGAATGTATTCATGTCGGGTCTGAGAAGAGGAAAACGGATGACTCGGGGAGGATCTTGTAGGCTGGGGGATATTTAAGCCGTGATGGGCAGGGGGAGATATCCAGGGGAGGCTGCGAGGGGTCAGGACCGAGTAATGGCGGCTTCCCTCGACCGACGAAGGAATGGCGATTAGAAAATTCCATCGGCTGACATCGATCGGTCGAGGTGCCAGCTTGGGAAACCGAGGAGGAAGAATTTTATACGATTTTCCGGAGATTCCGCATCGCCAGCCTCGGCGGCTCCGAAAACTACGCGCCAGGACGCGGAGGGTTCCCTCCTTCGGGGGCGTCCGAATCGATACCCTCGAGAGATATCGAAAAAAGTCTCCGACAAAAGTTCCGTATCTCAGGGCACTCTATAACTTTTGTTTGAAACGTTTTCGCGTATCGTGAACTATTGGACCGGAATATCGCGGGTTCCTTCGACTTGCGACTTTGAATCGTACCTATTGTTATTGATTATTTTATATCGCAGATCACGTTGTTAAATCGTATGTCCATATCGGCGTATTTAGAAGAGTAATGTCTTGATTGTGTCGGCGATCCATCCGGCGAGTAGAGTTAATTGAAAGTGAGAAACTACCTCGAGGATTGTTCGAGGAAAGTTGGCAAGCGTGTAAGAGGGGAGGATTTTCCGATTCGTATTTCACCCGAGGAGAGGAGGGGAAGAAAGGAAACGAGGAAAAGGGGAAAATACTCGTCCCCTTCGCGAGGGCTCCCTCGAATTTCCGCAGCGAAGTGCATCGCGGAATCCATAGCTCTTAGCTCTTGCCTCTCGAGTCCGATTTCCGACCACGACATTATGAAATTTAAAAGGTTCAAATAATCAGAGCAAAAAAATCATCGCGCCGCTCGCAAAGTGCGACAGAAATGCAATTTAAATTGTTAAAATAATCAGTCCAAAAAAATCGTCACGCCACTCGCAAAGTGCGAGAAAAATGAGATCTACAAGGTCGAAGTAATCACTCCAAAAAGTGGTCGCACTCATTAAATGCGACGTTAAAAATCCAAGGGGAAAATTCAATGTTCCAATTAATCGTTTAATATTTTAGGGGAGGAGCGAACGTGCACGAGGACCGAGGAAACAATTGTCGGAGAAAATGGAAAATGGCGGAGGAGACTGAAATTTACCTCACGACCGTGCGAAGCAACGTTGAGCGGGCCTCGTTATGGAAAGTAATGATCACCGATGTCGGGGGTAAATCCTGCCTCCATTGCTTCATGCGGCACCTGAAACGCAAGTAAAAACGACCGTTCAGGTTCGTTCGCGTTTCCGATGTGCGTCCGGGACACTCGGACGAGCCCCGCAAAGTTCCGATAATTGTTCATTCCGAATGGGTGCATCCACCCGGGGGTGTGAGCAAGGTGTACTTAACTGACAATTATTGGGCCCCTCGAGCCGAGTAAGCTCACCTTTCTCCTCGGCTCGATTAATTGAATTTAAATTATACGGAACGCCGTTTGCAGTCTCGTGCTCCGATGAATTAACACGGGTCAAATAAATTAATATAAATATGTGCGTGGGTGGGCGAACAAAAAGTGCTAAACTTTGTAACAAAACTTCACCCTGTGGATACGACTCGTAACAGGGTAAAAACAATTTTCTTTTTTCTTTTTAATTTCATCTTAAACCACCGTCATAATTCCAGTCACGTGTATATTATATTTTAGCATATGATTATAATTATGGCTCGTAATTATTGGAGATGTCTTTTATAAATAACTCGTCATTATTGACGAATGATCCGATGAATTAACACGGGTCAAATAAATTAATATAAATATGTGCGTGGGTGGGCGAACAAAAAGTGCTAAACTTTGTAACAAAACTTCACCCTGCTCCAAATAAATGGATACAACTCGTAACAGGGTAAAAACAATTTTCTTTTTTCTTTTTAATTTCATCTTAAACCACCGTCATAACTCCAGACACGTGTATATTATATTTTAGCATATGATTATAATTATGGCTCGTAATTATTGGAGATGTCTTTTATAAATAACTCGTCATTATTATTAGGAAGTCCGGTTCGTGGAGGATCGGGCGCTGGTTCGTTTCTAGGGGTGTTATCTCTTATCGGTCATGCCCCGCACATTTTCGCCCCACCTTCGCGATATCGGCGCGCGGCATCGCGACGCCGGCTCATACGTCGTTCATAAATAATGTCATCCGTTTACAGGCGGCGTCGGGGGCATGTGTCGCCGGCATGTTTCGCCCGTTTTGTCGGGGAGGCGGCACGAGCCCCCGGCAATGGCCTCAAAGTCGATATTCTAAGATATTTATGCGAGGTCGCGGAAGGTTGGCCCCGGTTCGGTGAACGCGACCTACCCCAAGGGTTGTGGGTGGGTGGGAGGTGGATGGTGGGTGGTTGTAGGTGATGGGAGGTGGTTGGTGGGTGGTTGTAGGTGATGGCTGGTGGATGGTAGTGGGTGGCGGTGGGTGGTGGATGGCTATGGGTGGGTGGGGGATAGCGATGGGTGGGTGGCGGTAGTGGGCGACTGCACTTCCGGGCCAGGGGGCGGCCGCGTGAAAAAAGGGAGAGCACATAAACGTGGCTAGACGGCGGAACGATCCCAATATGTCAACCCTCCTGAATTTCCTCCTTCCCGAGATAAACTCGCGGGACGTGCGTGGAATGCACTTCGGAATGCACCGGGAATGCACCCGGGTGGCTGCATCGTGAATGCATATCGGCGAATTCGCGGCCGGGGTCGCGTCGATTGGCTCCGAGGTGCCTTTCCTTTAGGGCGGTTTCTCTTCGAGATGCTAGAACGAAAATCTCGTAAAAACTTCCCCCCAAAAAATTGTCACCCTCGTTGCGCACTTTGCACCGCCCCGAGTACCCAAAACATGACTCTTCATGAATTACAGACGATCCCCCGATTTTCCGCCAGCCTCCAGACATTCCGCCTAAGTCTAGCGACCCGTCGAGTGCGTTTTCATGTGATGCCGATTCCGCGCCGGATTAAACCGTGCCCGGTGCATGCACCTCCGTGCACCTACGTTCACGCATACTCGGAACGAGGATGCGAGTGCACCATTCGTGCACGCGTATGTTCACGCGCAAGGCGCATCGGACACGAGCAAGTGCACCATTCATGAGCGTGTACCTTTATGCGCACCACGCATCGTGGACGAGTAGACGTGGTCCATGTGCACACGCATGGCCAGATGCACTTTGCACGCACAGGCGTGCCGATACAAGGCTCGACCCCCCACCGGGGCCATTTGCCGGATCAGTTTTACCGGTCGGGGCTAAAACCGAATTGCAGTTCCGAATTAAACGCGGCCGGATGATCCGTCTCGTTTCGATGCACTTTGCTCGCTTTCCGCTGCACCTGCCACAAGAAGCCTCGAGAGCGCCGAAAAAAAGTGCATCGCCCTGGCGCTCTCGTGCGAACTCGTGGGTGAAATCGTCTCTTGCACCTGTGCGAGCGCTAGGGGATGCTTTTCGCTCCCCTTTTCCTCGTTTCGAAAATTTCGAGAAGATTTTTGGCCTTTTTTATTCCTTCTTTAGAGAACCCTTGCACGTACATGGGTGATAAGGGATGCATTTCGATCCCCTTTTCCTCGTTTCGATATTTTTTTTGGGAGTTTCTACATTTTTTTCTTAGAGACCCCTTGCACCTGCACAAATTCTAGGGAACGAATTTTGTTCCCTTTTCCTCGCTTTGAGTATATTTTTGGCATTTTTTTTTTTTTCGAGAGAGAGGGAGGAAAGGAAAAGGCTCGAATTCCTGGGCATCGGGACACGTCGACGCGTACTCGAACGTTGATTAATTACCGATCGCGTTTCGCGTCACCGCCGCGAGTCAAGATTGATGAGGCGAATTGCGTTTCGCCGGCTGTTTATTCGCCTGCCAATTATCTCGGTTCGCCTTCCATCCCGCTCGATATTCCTCGTCCGAATGCATGGATGATCGATCGGTCCTCGCCCTGTCGCGAACGGCTTCGGATTATCTCTCGCGGGATAATTACGACCAGACCGAAACGAGTTTAAAGGGCCGGATTTATAAAGGGACATCATTTAAATGTCAGGTTTAAAGGGACCCGACGTAAACACGTTCCGTCCAAAGGTCCGATTAAAAAAATATGTCGAATTAAAAATCCCAGCTTAGGACATCGAATTTAAATGTCAGGTTTAAAGGGACCCGACGTAAACACGTTCCGTCTAAAGGTCCGATTAAAAAAATATGTCGAATTAAAAATCCCAGCTCAGGACATCAAACTGGGATATCCAGCTTGTAGGTCGATTTTCAAGTTTCCGGTTTTAAGGTCCCGCGCAAAATTTCTCCGAATGATTTTGCAAAACCGCTCGATTTTTGCAGATTCGCGACGCCTCGTTTCTCTCCGGTTCAGCTTTCTAATTGCACTTTAATGCCTCTACCGGTCCCGTTCGGAACAGGAAGAAATTGGGAATGTTATACCCTCTCGAGGCACCTCCAGGTGCATCGAAGTACACCTCGCGAGATTTACTGCGTAAATAAAAAAACAAAGAGTTTTGAACTTATTTCACCCGCCTGATGACGTCTCGCGGCGCTCTTCCTTTTGGCGGGGAAATTCGGCCAAAGTGCACTCGTATAAGAGCGGTTCTCCTCCAAAAGCGATCGTAGATTAGCTCGAGACGCCCCGGGAATTTCGGACGCGTTTCTTTGGCTGCGTTCCCGGGGAGAATGCATTGAAACGCGGGGACAAAAGTGCTGGAAATGAATGGCCAGGGGAAGGTGCGCATGTTCGGCCGGACGAGGAGGTCTCGAGAAGGATGGATCCTCTCTGATTTCCCACGGATTGTATTGTATAATCGGGAAAGAATGAAAACATATCCATCTCTCGACGTGACAAACGATTTCTCGCTTAGAAACACTGTAAAAAGCGTCGCCGTCTTGAGAAGCGCCGCCATCTTGGCGAACGCCGCCATCTTGGTGAACGCTTTCGAAATCATGAAAAACGCGCCGTAATACGTAAATTTGCCAAAATTAGACTTGACTTCTTAATCGTCGTTCCGATTAAATGACAAGGTGAACAAAAAATCAACCACATAATAGGGGGTCAATGAAGGGAATAAAAATGGAGGTGCATTCATTTCGGATAATTGATATTAGAGAGAAGCCCCCGAAAAAGGGGGATCGTTAAATGTGGAGAATCGATATTTTTGGAAATAAAGGTTGGATATTATTAAGCAGGGAGGGGTAATGTTAGGAAGGGGATACCTATTCAGCAGCTGGCTCGCGATTTTTATTCCTCCCATTGTTTCACGGCGAGAATAAATTCTCTCTACCTCTCTAATGGCAGTTCGATAAAGTCGATCGCGATACCTATCGAACGCACTCTCTCGAATCGCTCGACTTCCGCAGCCGCATAAAATATTCGAGTGGCACGATTTGCGTTGGACACGTCCCACTTGTGCGTACAGAGTTATATATATATATATATATATATATGTGAATATAAATGCACATGTATATTATAATATATACGTATAGGCGTATACACGTATAAGTCGTCTTCAACTGCGGGAAATTCGATGGATTATGAATCGCCACCCGAACGAGAAATTACGAGCCCGCGGGATACTCGTCCTCTCGTCCTGGATTTATGGGAACGTTCTGGAACGCTCGAAGACATTGAAAAAAAAAAAGTCACATTTTTCTATCGACACGGAAGTTTGTCCTGTCCAGAGCGACGTCACTAAAATGTGACTTCCGCCGGCCACGTACTTTTCCGATTTTTCGCTGTCCCTTTTTTCTCAAATACGTGGACCTCGGATGTTGCGAAATTCAATTTTCGGGCCAGAGAGAGTAATGGTAAAAAGAAAATGGGATTGAAAAAATTATCGTGTATCTATCACGTCGAGCAGCGAAGAGGCTGGAGAATTTCTGGAATACTTTCCAGGAATCGAGCACCGTTAAGTTGTTAATAAAAGAAATTCGAAAGTATCAGGGGATTCGTCGGTGGTCCTGGCAGGTCAATTCCGGCCAGAGGAGGAGAAATTCCTGGATTCTTCGAGGACTCGATGTGCATCCGTGTATTTATCCGGCCGAGGAGAGCGCAGCGTCCAAAATGGAAGGCAGTAAAATTCCTGGAATACTTTCCAGGAATCGAGCACCGTTAAGTTGTTAATAAAAGAAATCTTCAACTATCAGGGGATTCGTCGGTGGTCCTGGCAGGTCAATTCCGGCCAGAGGAGGAGAAATTCTTGGATTCATCGAGGACTCGATGTGCATCCGGG